GCCGGGTGGCGGGAGGTAGACAACAGCGTACGTGGCCTTGCGGTCGAGCTGCAGCACCTCGTAGTACGAGGCAGTCAACGAGCCTTGCATCGTCGTCGTCGGCCACGTTCGATTTCGAGTTTGGTGGCAACTGCGACAAGGACGTGCCGCGTGATTGGCTCGTTTTGCATGATGATGGGATGCGATCCAGCAGCATAATCTTTACGCGGCCACAAGCAGCCTCGAAGCGGCGACCGCTTGTATCAGCGCCGTGGCCGTGGGCGGTCTCTCAAATGCGTCGCCGCCGAGGTGGCCGAGCGCCATGTCGGCTGAGGTGGAAAGGCGGTACAGCCGTTTTGTAGCGATCTGTCCAATCAACGGCCGGAACGATAGCCATTTTGACCAATCGAATGCGTGCCTATGGCGATCTTCGGCCACGACTTCAACGTCATCGAAAGGATGGGAAGATATGCTTTCAGAAGGCGGGACGATAAGCACTGGACGAGGAGGACGCGGTGCCAGGTGTTGCATGGACGCACTGCAGTCAAGTGCGAGGTTTTGTCTCCGGGACGTGGTGACTGGCCCGTCCCAAGCTCGCGACGTGGACGGTAGACGATTAAAGAAATGGTCCGGTTCTTTAATGGCAGCATCCAGAACGAGTCGAGATTTCCATTGTGAGAGGGCAATGGATCAAGGCCAAGCGACCGAGGTAATTGAGGTCGACGACGATAGTACCGACGTGATGGGCGCGAGCCGTGTGCCGCCACAGCGCAGCCACGGGGTGACGACCGACACGCTCGACTCTAACCGCAAGCCCAAAGACCTCTCCATGCCGAACAGCGACAAGGACGCGGTGGGCCAGGACGAACTACGGGACGGGGCGACGCTCGACCGCGTACCTCACGGTGTCTCGCCCGACGGGGCGTGGCCGGTGCGATGGACGTCGTCCTGGCGATCGTTTGACGACCTTATGACCACGGTGGCCAATCTGCACGCACGCTGCAAGACGGAGGTCACGTGCGAGGCGCGGCCGTTTAACGAGCACGCGTTCGGCCGGGCCTTTCCCGCTGCGATCTTTTGCGCCGGGACACCCGAGCGCGGTGCCTTGGTGTGTTCGCACGACGCCTGCGACTACCGCATCGGCTTTGCCTACAACTACCACCTCGCGCTCTACACGGTGCACCCCTCGGCGACGCGCTTGCGACACTGCCACGACATTGTGTCAGCGGCGCCGCCGTCATCGCTTCTCACGCCGCTTGATCACGACACGCTCTATGCAGCCGGCGTCGGCGCCCGCCTCTGGCCCACGCCGTGGCCGGCGCAGTGGTCCACGTTTTCGGACCTCCAGGGCTTTGTGGCGTGGATGCAGATCGCGTTTGAGACGTCGCTCGCCAACGACGTCCGGTGCTTTACGCCGGCGGCCTTTGCAGCCACGTTCCCGGACACACCCTGGAACGACCGGTGCGTGCAGCGCGGGTTCTTTTACTGCAACGCGGCCCACGACTGCCCGTTCCGCCTCTACTATGCGTTCGACGCCGCGACTGCCATATACGCGGTCATGACGACGACGTCGCGCCTCGCGCACAGCCATGAGACCAAAGGCGGCGCAGTCGATGCAACGCGTGCCGTGGTACCGCCACGAACGACGATGGCCAAGCCCAAGATTGGGATCGTCGCGCCGTCAGCCTGTATTGGCGAGCGCAGTCGTAGCAGCAAGCGCAAGCGCCGAGCAGTAGCAGTCGCCGACGACGAGAGCAGCGAAGACGAGAACATCGAACAAGCCAACCGACGCAAGACGCTCCGGGGCCACTTTCAGGCCATCTGCAAGAAGGCGATAGGCAACACGCTCTTTTACGAGTACGCCCAGCTCGTGCTCGCCAACTTGAACACGCCCCACGACGGCGATACCGACGACGACGACGAGACGGTCGAGGCGTACCAGCCCACGAAGAGCGGCGACCCTCAGTCACGCCTAACGCGATAAGAGGCATGGACTCGGCTCGTATGTTGTCTGGCTCTGCGTTGTTGTTCCGACTAGAGGAAGGTCAAGGTGGTGGTCGCTGCCGTGCCATAGCCCACACATGTGATGTCTCTAGGCAGACGCGTCATGGGCGCCGTACCGCGACGATGGTCGAGGCGCGGCTAGCATGCGGCGGCACGTGGCCCTCGCCGGCGACGGGCCGCACGCGACCTCGGCCGGCCCTTGCCGTCGCGGCCGTCCCACTGCCGTTGTCGAACTATCTTTCGAAATGAATAACTATTAATTTATACAGGGACCAAAGTAGCAGGTGTAATATAAAAACGTATATTTATTGAAGTACGATTTTAAATACCTACAATTCTATTGCACCCGCCATGCACTTTGTATTGGTATGGTGGATGCGATCGCATGGTATATTAATATATGGCATGTTAAAATAGGTAAGAATTATAAAAAGCGACTTTCGCACGGCAATAAATTACGCATCGCCACCCCATATAATCACTCGAGCGAGACTGGAGGAGTGGCAAGGACCGCGGCCGGCATGACCATCACCTCGGACGAAGTCAACTTCCTCGTGTACCGGTACCTCCAGGAGTCGGGTACGTCGACGTCGCCTCGGCCATGGCCTCATGCGCCGTCGTAGGCTTCGTGCATGCGGCCTTTACCTTTGCCTACGAAAGCCAGCTCGCACGGAGCTCCGTGGTCTCGACCGAGATTCCGCCGGGCGCGCTCATCTCGTTCCTCCAGAAAGGCCTTCTCTACGTTGGCATTGAAGCGCACGTGAACGAGGTAGTAGCTCATACTTCGCCATTCTTCGCCGCTCAGCATGGCGTAGGATGGCACGGAGCGCGAGTGCGACGCTGAGCTCTCGCTCCTCAACCCACACATCTGCCGCATCGCGCAGTCGGTCTCACGAACGAGCAGCAACAAGCCTGGGAAGCGCAAGCGCAAGGCCGACGACATTGGCGGCATCAACTCGCCCGACTCGGTGACCGACCCGACCACAGCGACGCCCACCGCCGACGCAGGTGCGATCGCCTGAGGACGATACTATCACTCATGGATCGTCGAATGTAGCCCATCTGCCGCCGCCCGCCGAGGCGTCGCCCGATACGCTCGTCCTCAAGGGCCACGAGAAGGACGTACGACATTGCACTCGGACGCCAGAATCTCATCATGCGCGTAGGCGTTTAGCTGCCTCTGGCAACCCATGCACAACACATTAGTCACTGGCTCGTCCGACTCGACGGCACGGATATGGTCGGTCGGCGCCTCGGACTTTGGCGCGTCGACGCCCGTGACGAGCATCGTCCTGCCACACGGCGACGGCGCGTACAAGGACGTGACGACGCTCGAGTGGAACGTACGCATCCCATCTTGATCTCTCTCTACGTCCGCGTCCTCATGCTGACGTATAGCGCGACGGCAGCTGCATTGCGTCCGGCTCGTACGACGGGCACACGCGTCTCTGGTCGCCGTCCGGTACGCTGCCGCCATCTCGCAACATACGTTCTTATCGTACCTAGGCGAACTGCAGTACGAAGCGCAGCACCATCTCGGGCCTGTCTTTGCCGTGCGCTGGAACCCGTCGAATACGCTCCTACTCAGTGCGTCGTACGACAGCACGGTCGCGCTCTGGGACGTGGCCGCGTCACACAAAGTGAGTCAAGTCCGGCTCCACGACGGTACGCTCGTCGTCGTTCGTCACGAGTGGCGACCATCGGGACCATGTAGAAGCCGCCATCTTGGACGCAGCGTGGAAGGACGACACGACATTTGCAACCTGCTCGTCCGACACGACGATTCGACTCGCGAGCGTTGGCGAAGCCGCGCCGTCGACCGTGCTGCGTGGCCACACCGACGAGATCAACTCGATCAAGTGGGACCCGTCCGGGTCGCTTCTCGCCTCGTGCTCGGACGACTGCTCGGTCAAGCTCTGGCGTCCGGTACGAAGACTTTGGCTTGTCCTGGGCGCAGCTCAATGGCCTGATGTAGACGGAGACGGCGTGCGTGCTGGACCTCAAGGAACACACAAAGGAGGTGTATACGATCCGGTGGGGGCCATCCAACCACGTCTTGGCGAGCACGTCGTTTGATACGACGGTCAAGCTATGGGACGTGGAAGCCGGCAAGTGCCTCACGACCCACGCCCACGAGTAGGAAGAGCATGCTTAGGACTTGGGTTGCTGAGGACGTGGGATGTAGGAACGCCGTGTACGCGATTGCCTTCAGTCCGAATGGTCAGTTTTTGGCCAGCGGGTCGATCAGCGGCGTCGTTCAAGTGTGGTCGTTGCAGGTACATTCGACACCTTTGCGATCGTGCAATATGGTATTGATGGTGGATTATAGGACGGGTCGCTCGTCAAGTCGTACAAGGGCGTCGGCGACATCTTTGAGGTCAACTGGAACTACGACGGCAGCATGCTCTCGGCGTGCTTCTCGACCGGCGACGTGCTCGTCATGCACTTTCGCGTCTAGTCTAGTGTAGCGTTGTAGGATATATAGCAATCTCAAACACAATCACCCTTTGTATCGTCAATATCTGCTCGTCCGCCACTGTCGTCCGCTCCTCGACCTGATCTGCCCACTTGGCATGCGTCACTAGCATCGTGGCAGGTGCGTTGACGACATCTGTAGCGGCAAGAAGCGCCTTGCGCTGCAGCTGCGATAGCCACATCGTAGCTCGGCTCGTGCCAGCGGCCAGAGAGACAGGAGCTAGGGACGTGCACGGACGTGGCATACCGTATGGCGTGCGCGCCACCCACCAACGCACGTGCATGAGGCACACGTGGCATGCAACGGCACTGCGTGGTCGCCGCTGCAACGAGCATGAGCATGCGCAGGCTGGTGGCGCCCAGAGGCGAGCTACAGGCGGCGATGATCCGTGGCCTGCGCGCTGCTACATGTGGCCAGATGCGGCTGGAGCTGCTGGCCGATCGTTCATCCTCGTTCGTCAGCGTGCATTTTATTTTATTATTATTTTTGACGGCGAAAGGCCATCAACTCTGAGAGGTCCTCCTTGAAGTTGGTCCTGCGACACGTGCGCTGGTGCTGGCCGGACGCCACTTGCGGATTTGCCACTTCCTCCACCATGCTCCGCACGACGACGACGACCTTGCGCAAGCCGACAACGATGGCCCGCGGCTTTAGCTCGGCGGCCAACAAGATTGGCATCATTGGCCTCGGCCAGATGGGCGGCCACATGGCCCGCAACCTCGCGGCTGCCGGCAACCACCTCGTGGTCTTTGACGTCGTCGACGCCAACGTGCAGGCCGCCAAGGCGCACGGCAAGGTCGACGCGGCCGCGACGCCGCGCGAGGTCGCCAAGCAGTGCCACACGATCGTGACCATGCTGCCCTCGACGCCGCATGTCCAAGAGGTCTACCTTGGCAGCACCGGCCTCATCCATGAGCTCACAAAGGACCATCTCTTGATCGACTCAAGCACAATCGACCCGACGTTCACGAAATCGCTCTCGGCGACCATCTCGGAGACGGGCGCGCTCATCATCGACGCACCGGTTTCGGGCGGCGTCAACGGCGCCAAGAACGCGACCTTGACGTTCATGGTCGGCGGTTCGACCCCTGCGTTTGACAAGGCGCAGAAGGTCCTCAAGCAAATGGGCAAGAACATTGTGCATTGCGGCGGCCCTTGTAAGTTCATATATGTCTCCTGAGTCACAAGCTGATGACGAGCATGACGTAGCGACGGGCCAAGCCGCCAAGATCTGCAACAACCTGGCGCTCGCGATCCAGATGACGTCGGTGGCCGAGGCGCTCACGCTTGGTGACAAGCTTGGCATTGACCCCAAGGTCCTCTCGAGGTACTACCAATCACATCTCATTGCGTGATTGATGATGCGTGGGTGCAGCATTATGAACACGTCGACGTCGCAGTGCTGGTCGACGACGGCCAACAACCCGTACCCGGGTGTCATGGAGGGCGTGCCGGCGAGCAACGACTACAACGGCGGGTTTGCCTCTGTGCTCATGCGCAAGGACCTCGGTCTCGCGATCGACGCGGCCAAGAGCGTCGAGGCGTCGATCCCGCTCACGTCGAGCGTGCACCAGTTTTACAATATGATTGTCAACACCGGCCACGGGAAGAAGGACTTTGGCTACATTCTCAAGTTTCTCGAAGGCAAACACGCCTGAGCGTCTATGGAAACATGACAATATTGTGGAATATCAACAAAGTGTACACGGATGTCGCAGAAGATACGAGTTCTTATTGGCTGCTCACAGCGTCGCGTTCGGTTTGCTTGACCATGTCGCCGTCAATCTTCATGACGTTCCGGAGGCGCTTGAGCACGTTGAGACGCGCCTCCTCCTTGGACAAGCCTTCGTAAATCGGGTTGCCCGAGAAGAGCACGTCGCGCAGCTTTGGTAAATTGGACTAGAATCGTCCATGTTAGCAGCATGCGATGGAAGAAAGCGTACGAGTTTGTCGAGTTCGTCCCAGCTCTTGAGGAGGTTGTTGGAGATGTAGAGCGTCGTGAGGTTCGTCAAGCCCGAGAGACCGTCCAGCGTCGTAATGACGTTGTACGAGATCCAGAGCTCTTCGAGCGTATCTGACACGTCATCGAGCTTTTCGATCTTCTTGATTTGGTTGCGCCCGAGCGAGAGAATGCGCAGCTTCTTCATGCCCGAGAGCGGAATCAGCCGATCGATCGAGTTGGTCGAGAGCGAGAGATGCCTAGCGTCAAGTTCGTTAGTATAATGGAATGCGCATGAAGAAGTACTCGCAATTTTTCAGCGTGTTGAGCGAGTTGTCGAGCTTGGCGATGGGCGGGATCTGGCAGTAGAGCTTGACGACCGGCGCCTCCTCGGACGATGCATTCTCCTTGGCCTCCCACGCCTTGATGGCTTGACTGCACGTCGTCTAGCGAGATATAAGTGCTTAGTCCGGAGCGAAGGCGGCGCATGTCGACCATGCTCTTGGCGTATTCTCGACTGCGGTGAAGAGTCGCGATCTTACGAGATTCATAATTAGTGTTCAATAGAGTGATGGTCATGTACGATTGCAGGCTCAGGACGCGATGCAGCCGTGCTGTAGGATGCTGCAGTCGACGCTAGCCACGAATTTGATGCTGCTACGTAGTGGTACGACCGGCGCAGCCATCCACGAAGCATCCACTGCGCCGCTATTGCTACTCTCGAGTGAACACGTAAAATAGAGTGCGTAAGGTATGGGAAATAGAGTAAAATATAATGCACACTACCTTTGTCGTGGACGACGAACCATAATCGTGTTGTTAAACGGTAGATATAGTGTATAGCCGGATACGCTGGCACAGTACGGATATCACCAGAAAGTGCAAACTCATGGCGACGCGTCTGGCCAAGGAGATGCGGCGGTTCGGCATTGCGTTTGACATTGATGGCGTCTTGATCCGGTCGGTCCTTTGCGCTCCATGTGTTCGATTCCTCATTGTCTATGGGCGGTAGCGGCGGGAAGGCGCTCCCGAACGCGAGCAAGCGCCTTTTGCAGCTGCAGTCGCAGGGCGTCCCGCACATCTTCCTCACCAACGGCGGCGGCTGCGTCGAGGAGAAGAAGACGTCCAACCTGAGCAAGATCCTCGATGTGCCAATCGACCCGCGCCAGATGATCCTCGCGCACACGCCCATGCGCGAGCTCGTGCATCAGTTTGGCGGTCCGTTCGCGACATTTGGATGACAGACACTCAACGCGCTGACGTGGATGTAGACAAGAAGGTGCTTGTCATGGGCGCCTACGATGTCTTGGACGTGGCGCACCACTATGGTTTTCAGAAGGTCGTGTCGATCGAGGACCTCGCACATGCGAGTCCGCACCAGTACCCGTTCTTGCCGTGGCCCCACAAGTAGACTGCACGACAAATATGGCGCACTGAGGCTTGACGCTAGGCCGCACCACCTCGAGGACGAGCCAATTGGCGCAATCATCATCTTCCACGACCCGATCCACTGGGCGCAGGATCTGCAGATCGCAATCGATGCGCTGGTCGGCGGCCATCCGCTCGGGAGTGGGACCGGGCCGCAGACGCCGCTCTTTGTGAGCAACGACGACTTTACCTTTAGCGGTGCGTATCCCGTGCCCCGGTTTGCGCAAGGTGCCTTTACGCGCTGCCTCCAACTGCTCTTCGAACAGCACACGGGCAAGCCTTTGCAAGTGACGCGGTTTGGGAAGCCCCACCTCGTTCAGTACGAGTTTGCCGAGCAAGTCATGCGCGAGCAAGCACCCAATTGCGACCGGTTCTACGGCATTGGTGACAACCCGTTCAGCGACATTCAAGGTGCGAACACCGCCGGCAACCACTGGACGTCCGTGCTTGTGCGCACCGGCGTCTTCCAGTCGGATGCCGACAACCATGAAGAGCATCCCGGCGATGTTGTCGTCGACTCGGTGGACGAAGCCGTCGAATGGATCTTGACCCAAGAAGGCGTCCTCTAGAGTCGAAACGTCGATCGGTAGCAAGCGAACGACCCGGGACACTCGAATGCGCTACTAGTACTAGAGAAGGGACGATAAACTGCGGCCATAGAAGTGAAGTAGCTCCCATGACGACACGTTGGAGTATGCAACGCATTGATAGCCTCATTATGTAGTCTCTCATTGCACCGATCGCACGGACTCGCGCTCGCAAGGAACGCTGGTAGCCCAACGCAGACTCGACTTTGGCAAAGCAGGAAGTTCATTGTGGCATATGCCGCAAAATGTTGTTAGTTTTGGCATATGCCGCGTCGAAGAAAGGGGGCGATTGCTCTTGCTGTACACCTTTACTGGTGACGGGAAGTAGCGTTTTGCGCTCCCCACGACGTCCTCTATGACTGTGTTGAGTACGAGCGATTTCATTTTCAAAAGCCATTTGGGCGATCGAGGCGCTCGGCGGTCGTGGCGCCGAGCGCAGCATCGCACAGGATTGGCCAAAAATGCATCTTTTTGGCCAATAAAAAGGAGCGAAAACGTTTTTATTCGCAGTTGCGTCCCAGCCTGCCGCTCTTGGTCGACGCTGCTCTATTCTCTTACGTAGCACGCGCACTTGACTCCACTTTGCTAGTCATTACATATGACGAAGACATAAATGTGTCATATACATATGTGGTCCTCGTCAGACCTATGACTGAAACGTAGAGAAGGGAATATCTGGTTCACTTCACCAGGCTCCATCATGGTGTGAAGGCAGAGCTTCTGCTCTTGCTGCTTGGACAACTGCTGTAGCTTCTGGACAGTGATTAGGGCTTGGATCCGCGAGCCAACTCACGTACGAACAACGAGCGTGGTATTATAAATACGGTGCAACGCAGACGACTAGGGCTTTTTGAGGATATGGTTGACGCTCGCGGTCGCAATGTTGCGCAGCCACGCGCTAAACTCTTGGAGCACTGCGCGCTCCTGCATCTCGGCGCGCGTGTCCACGACCACATGCTTGACCGGGGTTTCCGCCAAGTCCTCGGCGCACCAGAGCGCGTCGGCCGGGGACGACGACGACTGCGAGCTCGGCGTCGTTGCCACGGGCGACCGCGGCGGCGGCGGCGGCGCCATTGGCTCGTCGCACGCCGCCTGCACGAGCGAGTTGCAAATCTTGTAGAGCGCAACGTCCGAAGCCATGCTCACCTGCAGCGGGTACAGCCGCGAATAGACGTTGGTTCGAACCGGCGGCGCGGTCGTCGACGCCGGTGGCGGCAACGGCAGTGGCATCGGCGGTGGGCCCAGCATCGCATGCATGTGTGTGTTGGACTGTGGCGGGAGTCGTCGCTTGGCCGGCGGCGCGATCGCCAACGGCACTTGGTGCACCGGCCGAAGTGGCATCAACGTCTCGAGGGGTGGTGGGGTAAACGCGGAAAAACGCTCGGGGGCGGGCAGCGCCGCCCGGTGCTTGGGCTGGTCGTGGGTGTTCTCGTTGGTCGGTGTCGCATGCGAGGCGTCTGAGCAGTGGTTCTTGCACATCTAGGAGATCAGAATAGGTGGTATATGACGCTAAGGGCGAAGGACCGACCTGACATCGACAGAGCGTGCCGCATTTGACACCAGCTTGGTAGCATTCGCAATACTTCTTCTGGCACCCGCTTCGCCTGCAGCGGCAGCCGCGAAAATACTTGGTCGTCGCCACCGACGTGTTGCTACTACTAGACTGCAGCATGAGAGGTCGCCGGACGAGAGGAGCACGGTACCCTTTCGAGACTTTGGGCAGGAACGCGACGGGGTTGCGTTCGAGGACAACGCGGATCGCACGTTGCCGCTGGCTCTCAAAGTTCTAGGGTAAGACTCAGGATTCGTACCGTGCTCGAGATAGCCCGGATAGGACGTACGATGTTGTTGTGGCAGCCCTGGCAATTGCAGTCGTCGCCGCAGAGCGAGCCTTGCTGGAAGCACTCGCAGTAGAGCTTGAGGCAGTTGGACTTTTTGCAGTTGCACGACTTCTTCGGCAGTGTCGTTGATGGCGGCGTCATCACATCGTCGCGGACGCTGGGCGTCCGGCTGCTGCTGTCGTCGGCGGACGACGACTCGATTGCGCAGCAGACGGGCTCTAGCCGCGGGCGCTTGGCCGCCGGCGCTTCGATCGAGGCGTCCTTGGCCGGGCGCAGGCTGCTAATGCTTCGTAGGAGGTCCGAGTGCTGCATCATGTCTTCCATCTCCTGGCGCTGCTTCATGCGCTCGCGCTCGCGTTCGAGGAGGACCTCGAGCGCGGGCTTGATCTTCTTGCTACTGCTCATGCGTAGTGTCGTTGGCAGCGGCGTGGCGGCAAGCGATGGGCGGTGGTCTGTGGCCAAAGCAGCGGGCGGGTGGAGGTGGCAGGATCGGCGGCGAAGGGCGACGTCGTCGTCCTGTCTCCGGCTGGCAGCTTCCACGTGAAATGGAATGCTGGATGGGACGTCAACCGCCGGCTGCGCTGTATTTTGACCAATCAGAAGCTGCCACTGGGCACATGGCCAATCACATCGCCGGATTCAAAAATTCAAAACGGGAGTCGGATTCTATTTAATGACACCATGCTGTACTGCACCTATGTATGCCGAATAAATTGTAGGAATTAAAATATTGTTGGCTGGATCTTGCGAAAATCTTGCGATCAAGCAACGTGGCAACACGAGACGTTCGAGGCCGTTCGCTTGCCTCAAGCGTTCGACTAAACCGGAGCGCTTCGACTAACTTGTAAATAGAACCGAGCAGAGAGAAAAGTGGCTGCTTGCTATGCAACAACAGTGTTTTGGGCGCGCCACGCGCGACGAACTAACCTTCAACTATCCGGCTGTCGGAAGATTGCAATGGCAATGTTACTTGGCCGCTCCCCGTGTCCACCAAGTTCAAATAATGGCCGAAGTAGAAGCACGGGAGCAGACACATAGCCAACTATGACAGTCATTAGCGGCGTCGCCACAAAGAGGATGGCATCGGCTGCCTTGACAGACAAATCCTGCTCCACCAACCGAGGCGACTTAACGTTGAAACAGCCGATTTCAGCGATGTTTTGTGATAGCATATAGGTCGCGTCGTTCTTGAGGAATCATGGGTCAAGATAAAGGGAGTCTTGTCGCCCTCACCGCAGATAGCCCTCGCATTATGATTGCCATCGACGCTTATATCATGCACGTGTTGCTGGTGAGAGGATAGATATGCGTACAATGATGTTTGTACAATCCATACGACGCGATCCTATCTATCCTATCGCTGACTCCATTCGATTCGATCTATCCAAAGGTCTTTCGGGCTACGATTTGCATCACCGGAGCGAGAGCGAGAGGCGCTGTTGCTCAAGTAGGAGTTCGTTCTACACGCGCAGTCTCTTGTCTGCAATGCTGCACAGCGTCACGTACCCGCATCGACTGGCGCATGCGCTGAAGTTCGTTCTTGCGCGCTTCGAATGGCGTCTGTGGTGCGTTTTGGATGAGCCTACGACGCGTCGCATAAGGCACCGTGGCAAGTAGAATGTCGTCTGTACGGTGCGATTGGCTTGGTTGGAGAGCTGACCGTCCTACGCCACACCTCTTATCACACGCAACGACTACGCATGCTCAGACCTGGCTTCAAAATGGTTGGCGTAGATGTAGGCGCTATTGTCGAGGGTGCTACAGGGTGCCACCGGCGTCTTGGCGTCGGACTCGAGCTGAAGCGGCTCGAGGTCGGGAAGCGGCGCTATCGAATGCAATTCTTGCGTGCTCTCTCGTCGTTTGATCGACGTACTGTTGTCGTCGGGCCCGACGGTGTAGTGGACGTAGGTGTCAACGATCGGCTTTTGTATCGGTGTCTCTGAAATGACTTGGATGTGCAGCGAGTGATCATAGAGCTACAAAAGGCATCGTGCTCGCCATGTTGAACTATCGCAAAAGAATACCTCGATCGGTAACGTCACATGGTCAAAATACAAAAGCGGGTTGAACAACGTCGTGAACGCCTTTGTGATGGGGTCGAGAAATAGAATGCAGTGCGCGTCGTTGCACTAGTGGGACGTGTTGAAAGTGGACATTAGTTGTCCATTTTACGGTCATGTTGGATATGAGAATTTGGGGGCGGTCCGTGGCGGTGATGTCGGTCACGAGCACGCGAAACGTCCAGCCGGCCAGCGAACTCGAGTGCTCGAGGCGGATCTCGAGAAAGTAGAAGGGCGCATCGTGAATGTTGGCTGCGCTATCCACGGGCTCCGGCGCCTCAACGTGTGGTGGCGCGGTCTCGGACAGCGCCACAGTTGTGCTTTGCACTGCGATTTGAACCCGCGTCGGTGGGGGCTGTGGCGACAACACCTTGCACGTTCCGGCTTTTTGGAGCCAATTTCGTGGCAGTTTGCTCGAGATCGATCCGGCGCGCAAAAGCTGCTTGGACGACGGTTTGCGGATCGTGGGGGGTGGTCGTCGCACGACCATGGTTGGTATCCTGCGCGATGATTCGCCCTCGGGCTCGTCGATCGCGGGCTCGTCATCGTCGTCTGACGCTTCGACGTCGCTATGCCACGCTACGGTATGCGGCGGTGCGCCTGCAGTCGCTACAACATGGAATTTAGCGCCAATCACTCGTCCTCCACGTAGCGTACACTGCGCTTGCTGCAGCTGGTGGCGGCTCGTCGAGGTTGCGAGGCTACCGCGTGTAGCCCCAGCCGACTTGGCCTTTGTCCCGCGGCTAGCCTACGCACCGCATTCGATTCTTGTTGCAAACACATGTAAAGTACCGGCCGCGTCGGGGTCGAGGTGGCGTTGGCAGTCGACGGGCGTGAGTTCTGAAGGCTTTGCTCAATGGCCTAGCCCGAACATGATGGCCTGTCGACATGAACATCGGCACCGCACCGCCCACGTCTCTTGGGCTACAGCGTGCAGACGTGCTTCTTTCGGGTCGATACTGGTCGTGCTCTCGCCCCACGTGTGAAACGCAGGCTGTGGCGTCGACGGCAACAACGGGTGTGCGTGCGTTGCTGCCATCGACAGCCGGCGATGGGAGGCTTCGTACTGGTTTGTCCGCCGCCGGTCAATCAGCGGTGTCTTTGTCGTCGTTGGTGTCGAGCGCGGAATGGCGTCGGCCGATGCCGGCGTCCGTCGCGACGGTTTGCGCGTCTGTCGCACCGTCTCGCGCAGCGCATCGGACGCATTCAAGCGAATGAGCTTGGTAGTGGCACCGGCTTTGGCGATCGATGCATCGAGCATCTGGAAGCGCGCTTCGATGATCGGGTACGGCAGCGGCATTGGACGCGTTAAAATTAGCAGGAAGGCTGCTGTCGGAAATAGTGAAGTCCGATGTCAGAAGCGTGCCGTTTCAAACTGCTTGGGACAAGGCGAAATATCGGCACGACAGTGACTGATCGCCGAGCCCCGACCTACTGTCCAGTAGCATTCCTTGCGGCAAATAAGACGCCCCAAAGAGAGACGAAGCTTTCAACTAATGGACTGACGACCGCGAACCGACGTGCCTTGTACTAGAGTCTGGCCGAGCCTCTAAGATCTAAGAACCGAAAACTTATTGCACTGTTCTATCAAACGTATCGCGTAGCAGAGGCGCCTGCATGACAACGCATTGTCGACGGACATTGCCTTGACAGCTCGAGCTTCTTACGCGTCGTCGCGTTCGTTGGCCTGGACATGGAGACATGGCGTTCGCAGCTAAACTACTATGGACGCGCAACATTAGCCTCTCGTCACCAACGGACAGCGGCTCGTAGCTTCGCTCTACCGGTCATCTGTCTTATATCGTCCGCGCAATGCCCACCGCAGTGCGCCACGCAAGGACGTGGCCACAACCAACCTCGCTTGGTGTGCTGGCCGCGCGCGATGCTTGTGGAAAGTCGTCGTATCCGGATCCGCCTGTCTCGTACTATTTTATATGGTTTTATTTAAACTGGATTTATGTATGGAAGAACAAACGTCGAATTAAAATACCACCGGGCGACCTCACCACTGGTTGGACTTTCCAAAGCTTTGCCGACGTCGTACGATGGCCGAGTCGAGTGACATCACGGACCGCCTCCTCGGCGAGCGCAACGAGCGCGGTATCCCGTGCGCCATCTTTGTCGAGGACGTCGCCGCCTTTGTGGGCGCCGACCCCGTCGAAGGCATTGTCGGCGCGCTCCAGCAGCTCTACTCCAAGTACAAGTTTATGGAAACCAACTTGACCAAGTCCAAGCAGTCGTTCAAGACCAAGATTCCGGACACGGAGAAGGACCTCGCGATGCTCGAGCATCTCATGGCGTCGCGCGAGAAGGACGAGCCGATCGAGACGCACTTTAGCCTCGCGGACAACGTGTTTGCGAATGCGACGATCGACGCCGACGTGCAGACCGTGTGCATTTGGCTCGGCGCCAACGTCATGGTCGAGTACTCGTTTGAAGAAGCGCTCGCGCTGCTGCAAGGCAACCTCTCGACGGCTACGTCGCGGCTTTCGCAGATCGAGTCGGACCTCGGCTTTCTTCGCGACCAGATCATTACGACCGAAGTCAACATGGCGCGCATCTTCAACTTTGACGTGCGCCGACGACGCCAGGAAAAGGGCGAGTTGCCCGCCGTCAAGGCCTCGTAAGAGGCTTGGTAATATCCACGTTTTGGCCTGTTTCCATCTGTACGCAGGATCCTTGATGTCGACTGCATACTATGGCAGGCAGCTATTGTCCGCTTGCCGTGGAGCCTATGGACCGATGGCCCAGGGTCGTAAACATTGTATTCAAAGCAACGAGACTACCCAAAACCACAGGGATATGGCAGGACAGGGAGACGACATGGCCGTGATGCATCCGTGGTCATATGGCGCTGGCTGAAAGTCCCGTCGTCAGGCCACCCCGCACGAGATAGTTGGCCTTTCTAGCTATGCAACTCCGTCATCGCTACGTGTTCTAGTTCTAGCTATCAATTGTCGTCGACGTATCACAAAATTGAGGTTTCGAGAAGGTCGAATCGGCATCAATAAGGTGCGATAAACGTCCCGAGACTCGGACCCTAGACCTACCCTACCCCTTTTGCCCGACGCGTATTTTTAGGATTTAGGACTTTGAGCACCGCCATGACGACGGCCAAGCGACTCGACCCACGGACCGAGAGTGACGCGGCGCCCATCACGGGCTACTGCAAGGACCGCTTCGATCCGTCGCATCCGGACGCCGACTGGGGCGGCTACGTCAACCGTACTTTCAAGAAGCGGTCGTTCAAAGATCCGTTGTCGACCCGAGACGTAATACGCAGCGATAAGGACAGCGTCTCAACGTGTGTTGGTAGCACTTGGTCCATGGAAAAGATGCCATTCTGCCCGCCCTCACGGCCGAGAAGCCCGCCGGTCGACGGACGTTTGCGCAGAATCTCAACCAAGCCAGCGTCGACCCGGTGTGTTCTCGTCTACGCCGACGCCGCATCATAACAACGCCGTGGGTGTAGGCAGCCAAAGACTCGCCATTTCATACCGGTGTGCACCAGGTACTTCGATGATCTAGAGTGAAAACGACTGGAGTTGTCGGTGCAGGTTGGCCCCGGCGGCGAGCACAACTGCAACACCTGGAAAACGTACCAGAGTTTAGATTGCTATGTGCCACATCGTGTGTGATAGGTCGTATGAGCTCCAGACTTCAGCGACACCGACGAACCGCGATACTCAAGCGCCAGGCACGGTGCGAAGCTTGGGCCAACTGGCCCATAAACGCCATCCACAGGCAGCAGTACACACGCGTTGTCGTTGCGCTGGTGGACCATTGAGTGGCTTGTAGGTGGAGGCAAAGCGTGCCACGCCTCCACGCACCCTCCCGCCCCTGGAGCCGGTAGGAATAAGACGACAACGTGTTCGATCGCTGACATTCAGGTAGGGACAATCGAAGCTCCCCGAAGTGCGCAAGCAAGGGTCGCTGCTCGCTGGCATTGGCCAGCGCCTCGCATCGTCGGACGCGCTCGCCCATCAACCGTACGCTCTATATGTTGTAAATGAAAGCTGGACTAGAAGCATAGGCTGCCCACCGCGCACCTCTGCACAGCGTATGTTACGCAGCAAAAGACTCTCGAGACGGAAAACCGGTACGTTGAGATCTCACTTTATTATTTGTGTCAACTGCCTGTAGACACAAAGTCCTGCTCGGGTACACGGGGCATCGAAAAGGGGTCTAGTAGGTGAAGACAAAATGGCATTTGGCTTTTGGGTGATGCGGACAACCAAAGTCGCAATATGAGCACACAGGGCGAATGTTGCGTCGGCGTTTTGGTGGCCGCCAGCTCGAGTACGCAAAGACGCGGATGATGCATCCGGTGGGTCACAAGGTGTGTGAGAATGGCGGTCTATGGCGAGTGCAGACACAGCTCCGTGATGTTGGGTAGCGGCATGGTGGCATCGACGAGGCCGTGGACGACGCGGGCGATTCCTGTAGCTTGAGGCTCGTGAGCGACGTCGTGGTGGCTATGCAATGGCCCAAGCCGACGCCGTCGTCGCACGTGAAACTGATCGAGATGCAGGTGCGTCGCGTGGCCAAACGCCAACCACGTCGCGAGAACTGGTCGCCGGTGTTCGCCAGGATACGCAGTATCGTCGTGCAGGCAGATCAAAGAGAACATAATGTGTTGGACGTACGGCGCTGCTTGAACGACATCATTCAAGAACGTCGCGTCAGCCGTGCAGTCGACATGGTGGAGCCCGGTGCAGAGATGCAAGATATGGCGCAGCTCGTCCATGCTCTCTTTTTGCCCAATCGGCATCACTTGGATGGACTTCACTTTGTGTCGACGAAATCGGCCGTTGGTGTGGATCTTCTTCGATCGGGAGGTCAAGCAACTGGGCATTGAGCATCGCAAGGTCCTCGATGCAGATCGAGCGAAAGCTTGGAAGAGCAGTGAGCACGGTAGAGGTGTAGTGGCGATCGATCTCTTCCACACAAACCTATGGCCAGTGCTTGGCGTCCAAGGCATCGGGTATCGCCGAAAGCGTCCAGAGCGCCGCCAGCGACGCATCGAGCGTAGCGGGTGGGAGCGCTTGCTGCAGTGAAAGGACGTATTTGGTCGAGTCCAAGCAGCGCATGATATCGACGAGGATACGACCGTGAACGACCGCTATCGGGGCCACGCACGCCCGCTTCCTCGCCCACTGGTGTCCATAGAAAACTCCAAATAAAGTATAGAGTAACAATACCATTTGTCCTCACATTGGCCACACGTGGCGTGCTGAGCTGGCGTGCTGAGGCGAAGGATTGACATGCTGCCTCTTCAACTATGGCATGCCCTCATGAAGGACGACTTTGCAATGCATATAGTGCAATCTACTTTAGTTTGTGATCTAGTTATGGCAAGGCACCCGCGTGGACAGCGTGGACAGCCTCGATCGGCGTCTGCTTGCCCATCATCGGGGTGCTGGTTGGTTCGCGGCCTCGTCTGGCGCGATCCAATCGACTCTGAGCTTGCCACGTATGACCAATCAGATCATCTGATTGGTCATACGTGGCAAGCTCACAGTTGAAGCTAAGAGATTTTCGTGCAGCTTTTTACGGATGGAGGCGACGCATGCGGGTCGCAGCACTCGCTACACGGTTCTACTATTCCTTGGTGGCATGTCGACAACGTGAACACGTTTAAGCAGCCGTATACTCGCTCGTAATATCGCTATATCAAGCTTCCTTGTCCACACCTACGTTGCGGTGGACTCTCACTGGACAGCGTTCGGCGTGCAGTGAATACAGCAATGATAGTAGCTCAAGGTAGCAACATCATAAGCAGCGCGGGAACGCTCTTGAGCACCTACATTGCAGCATGTAAGCATGACGACACTGGGCGTGAAGGAAGCTTGGGTCTTGTGGCGTCTCGTTTGTAAAATGGAGCCGATACACGCTGGACCTCGTACATAGATTGTGCGGTCGGATTCGAGACTTGGGACTGGACGCAGTTGGCGACGACAAGGAGGAAGTTACAACGCATTTACGCATCGAGGTGTTGGATACCACACAGGACTATACAATCCGCGGGGGATACCTCCGGCGCTACGATGCACATCGTGAAGAAGCACAGACATCGATCTAAAGGAGAATTTCGTTACGCAATTTGGTACTAACAAATCCATTCATCTAGGGCATCCGGCTTGGGCTTCCTGCCTTGCATCGAGGATGCCATTGGTCATTGGGACCCTGACGAGACTGCGATGCTAACTCCTCGCAAGGCGCAGTGTCTTTGTGACACTTCACGTTTTCTCGGCCTCGAAGCTACTTGGATAGGACCGATCCGCGAGTCTCATCCTGGGGATCTGCACGTCTCTGCAAGCTTCATGTCCAGCTCCAACCACATCAACAACACTGCAGCACTGTGATCACTCCACGGCAATCACCTCTGCGGCGGCTTCAAGCAACCAAGCAGCGACTCACGTCGTGGGTTTGCGCAGACCAAGCAAGGCCCGACGCTGTTATCCAGATGACGAGAAAGCTACTTTGAGATCCCACGGCAGGCGATATTTCTGCGTCGACGCACTGGCCTCACAACATTTGCCACTAATCGCATTCCTTTTTTTGCACGTGCAGGGTAAAGGAGGGTGTGGACAAGCAGCAGTTGGTAACACCGCGGCAGGATAAAGAAGGCAACGACCAGGTTTTTAGCTCTCAAGAATTCCCAACCAAATGGCCAGTGCCGTGACAGGCCGTGACTCAGTGTGGGTGAACGGCAGTTTGCCCTTGCGATTGCTACAGCAGCTGGTCCAGATACTCCGACCGCTATTTTGTATGGGATCGGCCGATATGACGTTTACTGCTTTTGATCGTTGAGAGGATGGGTAGTACCTGGTCCAGCGTGGCGCCTCGAAGCCATACTGCATTGCGCTACATCGTCGTTCGAATGAGCTTTTACGCGTTGCTCTACACGCTAAAAGCAAGGATGCGGGCTACAAGCTCTAAACCACAATCTACAGCCCTATACGTAAACCAGATGAGCCATATACCATAGCTACGGAAGCATCGGCCTTCTACGACAAGCAAACCACTCTAGTCACTAGCCAGAGGTGTGGCGGCCTGCGCCTGTCGAAGCGATCGGCCTTGCTGCTCACATTTCCGCCTTCATGTCTTTGCCAGCGTAGCCCAGTGAGAGTAACCTCGAGTTGCCAAGTGAGTGATCGTGGGTGCGCTTGGTGTCAGTACAGTATGGTCCAACCATATGAAACCATCCCGACCGTCCATATGTAGCGTCCATAGCGCGCGGCACGCATTTGCAAAGCCAACCTGGTCCACGCCACCTCGTGCGTGCATCGATGTATGTACGTAGTCACGTGGTGGCAAAGGAACTCCTCACTTCTTCTTCGGGTCAGGTCGGATGGCGCTTCTAGCTGTCAGCGCAACATGTGGTTTGAAAAGATACATGGTCGTCTGATCAGCGGCCGCCCCTCTGCTGGATGTATTTTCCTTCTCACAGGCGATTGCCAGACCGCATTTCGCCGCACTGCACGCAGTACCACTCTACACACTAGCATGGACCCACCGCGCAAGGGCATTTACCTCTATGAGCCCGAGCCGACGCACAAGCCGGCGATGCTCAGCAGCGGTGTCTCGTCCACGAGCTCCCAGGAGCGCCGGCCTGCCCATTTCGAGTCGTTCAACGCACGCACCAACTTTCGGTCGACGCCGGTCGAGACGCTCGGACCCCACACGCCGCCCGTTTACTCGTTGCAGGACGACCCGATTCTCGAGGGCCAGCCAGCGGCACCCCACGGCAACTACGACTCGCGCGAGACCGCGACGTTCTTCAACTCGATGACGGTCGTTCTCGGCGCTTGTCTCGGCATTGGCCTCGGCTTGATTTTGACCAAATTTGACATTCCGCAAGACCTTGCGCTCTGGCTCGAGCTGCCCGGTAACTTGTTCGTGCGCGCGCTGCGGTGCCTTGTCGTGCCCATGGTGTTCAGCACGATGACAGTGTCGATCGCCGAGATTGTCGTTTTGAACAAAACGTCGATTTTAACGTGGCGGACGGCGGCGGTCCTCTTCTCGACGTCGATCCTCGCCACGATGCAAGGCATGGTCGTCGCCTTGATCTACAACAGCGTCTTCAACGCCAACTGGCCCGTCGCGCAAAGCACTGTGACCTCGACAAGTGGCATCGTCTTGGGTCTCCGGTGTGCCAACGGCCAGTACTTGGAGACGCTCGCCAATGGTACGATGGCGTGCCTCAGTCCAAGTGCCAACGCCAGCGCGCTCTTCACCGTCAAGGACGTCAACAATGTGCTGAGTACCAACTCGGCGTTTCAGCAACTCACGCTGACGCAACAAGTGATTGCGATCGTCAACTTGGTCGTGCCCGACAACATTTTCGCGGCCATGGCCAGCGGGTCGCTTCTGAGCATCCTCACGTTTGCCTTGCCGCTCGGCGTGGCTGTCGCCAAGTCGCACAATGAGGCGCTGGGCCCTGGCAACAACTACCTCCTCAACATTTTGCGCCAGAGTCGCAACACGCTCCTCCTCATGATCAACGCCGTCCTCAAGCTGACGCCGTTCGCGGTGTTTTTCCTCTTGTCGAGCTCGATCGTGACGTACAGTACGACGAGCACCAACATCATGGCCCAAGGCGGGTACCTCATCCTCTTCTTCATCGCCGGCGTCCTCGTCCATGTCCTGATCGTCATGCCGTTGTACCTCTTTCTCTTTACGCGCATCAACCCGTACAACTACCTCCGGCAGCTCGTGCCCGCGTATGTGTTTGCATTTGGCTGCTCGTCGTCGATGGCGACGCTTCCCGTGGCGGTGACCGTGGTCCACCAGACGCGCCAAGTGTCGCGCCAGCTCGCCCAGCTCATGATGTGCCTTGGCACGCCGGTCAACCTCAACTCGCCGGGCTTCTACTACCCGCTCTTGACGGTCTTTATGGCCAACGTTGGCGGTGTCGGCAGCCACCTCGGCGTGCCCGAGCTTGTCGTGCTCTTCTTTGTCTCGCTCTTGGGCTGTGTGGGCACGGCGCCAGTGCCCAACTCGGGTTTGATCATGCTCATGACGGTCTGGAAGACAGTGCTGCCCAACATCCCGCTCCCCGGCGCGTTCATTTACATTGTCGCCATCGACTTTCTCTTGGACCGGATCTGCACGTCGACCAACGTCAACGGCAACATGGTCGTGACGCGGATCCTTGCCGACTACTTTGACGACTCGTGGGGAAGCGAGTCGGGCCAAGCGTAAGACAATTTGCGGAATCTTGTTGATCGTGGTGACGTCCATGTCGTCTTGGTGCTTGTACAATAGTTTTGTTTTATAGCTATATTTTTTGCTGTCATTTGCCGATTGTTGTCTACAAGTAAAAGATGGACGTGCTTGTTGCAGCCTTTTGAGTCGAATGCCATGATCCCGCGGAACGAGCTTTCGTTGTTTGAACGAATTTGGTCTTTTCGTTTTTTGGTATTTTATTGTTTTAAATATTGGAACGCGACTTTTTGCTGTGGTGTCTAGCGATGCGTTGCTGTGATGCCAGCGCATGCTGGTAGAGAAGACAGTAGGCTGCACTGTTGCGCAAGCACTGGATGGTGAACGTGGTTGAGAGCATCTCTACCAGTTCCCGGTATCCTACCTTGGCTCTGGGTTTTTGCCGGGTGTTTCGCCCTGTATACAGTAGTGAGCGTCTAAAGTACGATGGGTACTCGGCGAGTACCCTTTAGGATGTGATAACACTTTGTGCCTTTTAAAATCGAAGAGGAGAAGGAAAAAGGAAGAGGGAAGTTCGTC